GTACCCTCCTCCAAGCAAAATCGCCAAGTGGTATTTTATGGGAAATGAAAAGCCGAATAAGAATGTATTTGAAAAAGTAAGCCATGGAAAACAGCCTCTCAAAGCGTATGTCACCTGTTTTTATGTTACTGTTTATATGGTTTTGAAGTTGGCTGAAGGCTTTAAGTGGCAACTTTTGAAGTTCCTAATGGAACCCCACAGATTATGTGCAATAACATGAGTTTTTCTTTTGAAAGAGAGTGTTATAAAGCACATCCACTTCTAGTATCTCTTTTCAGCTTCCCAGAGCCATGGAGGAGTCAGGATAGATATTCATATGCCCATTTTGAAGGTGAGGAATGGAAGGATCAGAAGAGTGGAGTCTTTCGAGGTCACACAGATGGCCAGAGCTGACCTAGGGCCTCCAACCCTGACTCTAGCTAGACTCCCAGGTTTGTGCATCAGGACCACTTGTCAATATCCAGGCAGACATCACTGAGAAATATACACAGATGCATTTCACTCACCCCACCCCAAGATTTTAGCTGGAGTCAATGAACCATATAAATTCAAACTTTGGAAATGCTAAGCCTCATAAACAATTTTAAAAGGTATTAAAATGCAAAACAGAAGTAAACAAAATTTCTTGCCACAGAGAACGAACTAATGTAAAGTGACAAAATAATGGGCATTTGAATGTAGTCTCAAAAGTGGCCATAAAAGGGGATTCAGAATCCTATTTTAGTATGTATATCATACACTTGCTTTGCTGAGGATGAGTGGTGGAGAATTCTCAGTTATAAAACTAAGCCATGGAGGGAAAAAAGAAATAGCGACATGAATGGAAAGAGACAGAGAGCAACAGAGAGCGCCCAGGAAAGACTGAGCCAGAGCGATTGGGTGAGATGGTGCCAGTCACAGGTTGGGTGCCTCAGAAAAGCCAGCTCCTGGGTGCGTGCACCACATGGATTCCAGAGCAGTCCGTCACCCCTCTGCCCAGGACTGGCCTTGGCAGATGGCCCCAGGGGCTCCAGGCAGCTGTCCCTCCTGGGGGCTTCCAGGAATGGGGGGGCACCTATCAGCCCTGACCTGCAGGGCCTCCACTGAGGAGGGTCTGACTCTTCACAGGAGTTTATAAAGTGGAAATGAGCAACGAGCAAGGCTCTTCCTGCCCAAGAGCAGTGGTCAGAAGGGGACATCTGTCCTCAGCCCGCCCCCACACTGGCTGAAGATGTGCCCTTGCCCCTGTCACTCAGCCCTGGGTATGGTGAGGAGACAGGAAGGCAATGTGCCCAGCGTTTATTGTAGGACGGAGTCAAGGTGGCTCAGAGTTCCGCACTAGGGAGTTCAGCTGGGCGGCCTCCCCGGCCTCCGCCGCCTCCGCCTCTTCCCCACCGCCCCAGCCAGCGGTTCCTCATTCATCTTCTCCGCCGTCTTGGCTGTGATACGCGGCGGTCCTCTGGATCGCGTATTTTGGCTGTTTCTCAAAGGGCAGTGACCCGCAGGCACAGATGCAGAGGCAGCGGCGCCAGACGGGCAGCCAGGCTGCTCGCGGCTCCCGCACCCCTGCGGTGATCAGGCCGCAGCAGCTCCCAGCTGGTTTCATCATTAAACAACTGAGGCAAATCCTGCCTACACACACACACACACACACACACACACACACACACACACACACACACACAATCCCCTGCCTGGCCCTTGCCTAAAGTGGAGGTCCCTCATGTTCCAGGTCAGCTATTGTAAATGTGCTTTTTAAGTAGGTGGGCTTAAGGGATTTAATGGCTTCAACCAGCGGTGTCTGCATTCCTGGGAAGGCTTCTGCTGTCTATTTAGAAGGAAAGGCATCAGCTTGCTTGAAGAAATTCTAGGTTACTGAGTAATCACCATAATAAGATCGAGAATGAAGGTGACCTATAGAAACATGGTAAATACATGGTTTTCTTTGCTCAGTAAGTGGATTTTGATAATAACTCAGCACTTGCCTCAGGTTCTGAAATACTGTTAGCCTTCTTGGGAAAGCCTGGGAAAGGACTAAGTGCAAAAAATGCTCCTACAAAAGAAAACACAGGCTTCCCAGCTTTCTTTGTAGCTGCAACACACTATATAAAATTGAAAGTAACTGTTCAGGCCCTCTGTCCTTGGTCACCACTTCATGTACCAGCCCGCCAGACAGAGTGCAGGGAAGCACCACAGATCAATAGCTAGCTATTCTGGGTTAACATTGCCACAGCCTTTTTTTTTCTTTAAAAAGAGAATTTTTCCCTCATGTGGATCATAGCTTATTATATCCGAGGCATATTTCTGTGGTCTGTCTTTGGAAATTAATGCTTGGAAGAGCACTTTGCTTTTGAGGTTTTATGGACTCTTTAATGTCAGTAATGGGGTAGCAATACTCATACAGAATTGTTCCTTTAAATGCTCTGCAAATGGCTGTTAGCCCTCAGGTCTGGGAAGCAGGTAAAACTTACCTGATGGGCCACCTGGATCCTGGATGAACACATGGTACTTACGAGATCTCCACAGAGGCAGCCTGGCTGCAGAGGTCTCTCTGGTGGGCACAGCCTCTGTGACCCCTGTGTGCTCTGCCGCGTGCCCTGGTACATTAGTAAGCAATTTGCTTTGTCTACCTGCAGTACCCTCCTCCAAGCAAAATCGCCAAGTGGTATTTTATGGGAAATGAAAAGCCGAATAAGAATGTATTTGAAAAAGTAAGCCATGGAAAACAGCCTCTCAAAGCGTATGTCACCTGTTTTTATGTTACTGTTTATATGGTTTTGAAGTTGGCTGAAGGCTTTAAGTGGCAACTTTTGAAGTTCCTAATGGAACCCCACAGATTATGTGCAATAACATGAGTTTTTCTTTTGAAAGAGAGTGTTATAAAGCACATCCACTTCTAGTATCTCTTTTCAGCTTCCCAGAGCCATGGAGGAGTCAGGATAGATATTCATATGCCCATTTTGAAGGTGAGGAATGGAAGGATCAGAAGAGTGGAGTCTTTCGAGGTCACACAGATGGCCAGAGCTGACCTAGGGCCTCCAACCCTGACTCTAGCTAGACTCCCAGGTTTGTGCATCAGGACCACTTGTCAATATCCAGGCAGACATCACTGAGAAATATACACAGATGCATTTCACTCACCCCACCCCAAGATTTTAGCTGGAGTCAATGAACCATATAAATTCAAACTTTGGAAATGCTAAGCCTCATAAACAATTTTAAAAGGTATTAAAATGCAAAACAGAAGTAAACAAAATTTCTTGCCACAGAGAACGAACTAATGTAAAGTGACAAAATAATGGGCATTTGAATGTAGTCTCAAAAGTGGCCATAAAAGGGGATTCAGAATCCTATTTTAGTATGTATATCATACACTTGCTTTGCTGAGGATGAGTGGTGGAGAATTCTCAGTTATAAAACTAAGCCATGGAGGGAAAAAAGAAATAGCGACATGAATGGAAAGAGACAGAGAGCAACAGAGAGCGCCCAGGAAAGACTGAGCCAGAGCGATTGGGTGAGATGGTGCCAGTCACAGGTTGGGTGCCTCAGAAAAGCCAGCTCCTGGGTGCGTGCACCACATGGATTCCAGAGCAGTCCGTCACCCCTCTGCCCAGGACTGGCCTTGGCAGATGGCCCCAGGGGCTCCAGGCAGCTGTCCCTCCTGGGGGCTTCCAGGAATGGGGGGGCACCTATCAGCCCTGACCTGCAGGGCCTCCACTGAGGAGGGTCTGACTCTTCACAGGAGTTTATAAAGTGGAAATGAGCAACGAGCAAGGCTCTTCCTGCCCAAGAGCAGTGGTCAGAAGGGGACATCTGTCCTCAGCCCGCCCCCACACTGGCTGAAGATGTGCCCTTGCCCCTGTCACTCAGCCCTGGGTATGGTGAGGAGACAGGAAGGCAATGTGCCCAGCGTTTATTGTAGGACGGAGTCAAGGTGGCTCAGAGTTCCGCACTAGGGAGTTCAGCTGGGCGGCCTCCCCGGCCTCCGCCGCCTCCGCCTCTTCCCCACCGCCCCAGCCAGCGGTTCCTCATTCATCTTCTCCGCCGTCTTGGCTGTGATACGCGGCGGTCCTCTGGATCGCGTATTTTGGCTGTTTCTCAAAGGGCAGTGACCCGCAGGCACAGATGCAGAGGCAGCGGCGCCAGACGGGCAGCCAGGCTGCTCGCGGCTCCCGCACCCCTGCGGTGATCAGGCCGCAGCAGCTCCCAGCTGGTTTCATCATTAAACAACTGAGGCAAATCCTGCCTACACACACACACACACACACACACACACACACACACACACAC